TTTTTCTGCTTATGTGGTGCTGAAGAATCAAACCCATGGCCTCATGCATGTGAGGCAAGCACTCAGCCTTGTACTCTTGATTTTTTTTTCCGCTCAAGGCTGGCACTCTATCACTTGAGCTATGCCTCCACTTCCAGCTTTTTGCTAGTTAATTAGGGATTTGTCTCACAGACTCTTCTGGGCAAGCTTCAAACTATTATCCTTGGATCTCAGCCTCCTGAATAGCTAGGTGTGAGGCATAGAACCTGGTTCCTCATAATACTTGCAAGAAGTTAACCAGATGCAGAGAATGTATACCTTATATCTGACAGGAGTGGTTTTAGAAGCAGAGATGAGTGGCTGAGGGCAGACCCAGAGTGACAGGTGAAAGGTCATGGAATGGGGTAGGGAGAAGAATTCACCACCATTCCAATGGTCTTACCTGTATTATCTCTTATCCACTCTGCAGTGGATAAGAGGATAACGTTGGAAAGAGAATCTGAGGACTTGTTGTAAAGAGTCAGCATTTGAACTTGGGCACTTTCTGACCTTTAATGACTACAGTCTTTACCAAAGTGGCTAGAGATCCATAGCTCAGTGGTAGAATGCTCGTCTAGCATGCACAAGGCTCTGAGTTCAATCCTCAGCCCTGCAGAGTGAAGCCAACAAAACCCTGGTGTTGCCAGTCACTGGTGGCTCATGCCTGTGTAATCCTAGCTACTCAGGAGGCTTGAGTTCTGGGGATTGCAGTCTGGGTCTTATCTTCAATTCACCACCAAAAAGCCAGAAGTACAGCTGTGACTCAAGTGATAAAGCTTCAATTGGAAAAAGCTAAGGGACAGTTCCCCAGGTCACTGAGTTCAAGCCTCATTACTGGCACAAGCAAACAAACACTTGGCTTTGTTTTCTGTTTCTTCTACCACCCCCTTTTTTGCCTCTTCAGCAATAAATTCATTTATTCAGCAAAAATAAAAATAAATAAATGATGTGTGTTGAGAGAGAGAGAGCAGAAGTTCTGTCTTTCCGCTAAGGAAAGCATCCTCAAACTGCTCTTTCTGTGAACTCAAGCCAGGGGCTCAGCAAGACCCAAAGCAAGCAGGAAGCCCAGCCTGGCCCTCCTGCCGAATCTCCGGTGGGGGGGAGGGCAACAACAGCGCTGGTTGTAGTCCCTGCCCTGCTACTGCCTGGCGTGGGGGACTTAGATGACCCTGCTGGCCATTTCCTGTCTCGGTTTCCTCATCGGTCAACTCAGGATCAGTGCCAGCAAAGGTACTCCCGTAGCAGAAACTCTTTCTTTCTACCTTCTCCTGCCTTAGGAAAGCGAGCCCCCCAAAACACATCAGAGCAGCAGGAAGGAGATGCAGCTGGTATTGGCCCTTGTGGGGGTCCTTCTGGGGGCGCCTGGAATGCCAGCTTGGGCCCTTGAAGTCTCTGAGGAGATGGAGCTGGGTATGGTCGTGGGAGAGGGTGGCAGGGACGGGAGGCGTGGGCAGCAGGAAGGGACTGCTGGCTGAGGGGGTGCTGGGGAGAAGATGGCAGCGGGGAGCTGGGCTCCAGCATTGCCAGACGGCTGTCTGGCTCCCAGCAAGCACCTGTGTCTGTGTGTCTACAGAGATGACTGGCCTTTCGCCTGTCCAGCTGGTGGTGAGCCCCTTGGTTGTGTGTGTGTGTGTGTATGTGTGTGTGTGTTAAGCGCTGGCATGTCTGGTGTGGCATGTGTGTGTGTAACATACCCCCAAGAGGAGCCTGGCCCCGCAGCGCATGCGTGCGAACCTCTGCTGATCTGCCGTGTGCCCCTGCATGGTGCCTAGAGGTAGAACGCTGCTTCAGCTGGGCTTCTGGGGTCCTCTGATAGCTCCCTTCTGCCCTCAGAGCCCTGCTCGGCCCCCAGTCTGGAGAAGCAAGAACAAGAACTGTTGGTGGCCATCGGGCAAGCTGTGCAACTGTGCTGTGGGCAGGCTGAGCGTGGTGGCCATTGGTACAAGGAGAGCAGTCGGCTGGCACCTGCAGGCCGGGTCCGGGGCTGGAGAGGCCGCCTGGAGATTGCTAGCTTCCTGCCTGAGGATGCCGGCCACTACTTCTGCCTGGCCCGAGGGTCTATGAGCGTCCTGCACAACCTCACTTTGGTTGCAGATGGTAAGAGTGTGTAACACGAGGGACAGGGGTGCCTGAACCTCCCATCTGGGATCTCAGATGCCTTCTGCCTTCTTCTGTTTCTAAAGTAGACTCGTTGACCCTCAGCCGTGGTGATGATGAGGACCCTCAAGGCCCCAGGGGCTCCTCCAAGGGCCATGTGTACCCCCAGCAAGGTTGGTATGAATCCTCAAAGACTCGTGTCTCCACTCTCTTTGGTGGGTGGGCCTGGGCGCTGTCCCTCAGCTCTTCAGCTCAAGGCGAGCGCTCTACCACTTGAGCCACAGCGCCACTTCTGGTTTTCTGGTGGTTTATTGGAGATAGGAGTCTCACGGTCTCTCCTGCCCGGGCTGGCTTTGAACCGTGATCCTCAGATCTCAGCCTCCTGAGTAGCTAGGATGACAGGTGTGAGCCACCAGCAGCTGGCTTCTCCGCTGTCTGTCCGATCACTTAGAAGACTGGGAGCCAGTGATCATGTTTGGAGAGCTAGATACTTACCCTTCCCCCCACCCCCAGCACCCTACTGGACACACCCCCAGCGCATGGAGAAGAAGCTGCACGCAGTGCCTGCTGGGAACACTGTGAAATTCCGCTGCCCAGCTGCGGGCAACCCCACGCCCACCATCCGCTGGCTGAAAGATGGACAGGCCTTCTACGGGGAGAATCGCATTGGTGGCATTCGGGTAAATCTCTGTTCCCCCGTGACCAGTCCCCTCGTGTATACAGATAAAGCCGATGAAGAAAACATTTGTGGATGGGCACCAGTGACTCACGCCTGTCATCCCAGCTACTTGGGAGGCTGAGATCTGAGGATCGCAGTTCAAAGCCAGCCCAGAAATCTTATCTCCAAGTGACTACCAAAAATAAGCCAGAAGTGGTGCTGTGGCTCAAGTGGTAGAGCGCTCACCTTGAGCTGAAGAACTGAGGGACAGCGCCCAGGCCCAGAGTTCAGCCCCAAGACCCAGGAAAAAAAAAAAAAAGAGCTAAGGGCTAGGTGCTGGTGGCTTATGCCTATAATCCTAGCTACTCAGGAGGCTAAGATCTAAGGATCAAAGCCAGCCTCAGCAGGAAAATCCATGAAAGTCCATGACATTTCTTATCTTCAATGAACCACCAGAAAACCAGAAGTGGCGCTGTGGCTCAAAGTGGTAGAGCGCTCGCCTTGAGCAAAAGAGCTCAAGGACAGCACCTAGGCCCTGAGTTTGAGCCCCAGTACCTGCACAAAGACTCAAACCTTGAGTCTTTGAATACTTCTAGGAGCCTTTGTTGGTGGTGGTGGTGTTGGTCATGGGGCTTGAACTCTGGGCCTGGGCGCTGTCCCTGCGCTCATCAGCTCAAGGCCAGCACTCTACCACTTGAGCCACAGCGCCACTTCCGGTTTTCTGGTGGTTCATGAGAGATAAGAGTTTCCCAGCCTTTCCTGCCTGGGCTGGCTTTTGAACCAGGATGTTCAGATCTCAGCCTCCTGAGTAGCTAGGATGACAGGCGTGAGCCACTGGCACCTGGTTAGGAGACTTTTTGTTTGTCCTAAGGTGCCTGGCCTTGGCCTGCCCTTCTCTGAGCGTTGAAAGCTAAAGACAGACCCTGTGTGTGCAACACTGACCCCTCCTGTGCTGGCCTCTGGTGTGTGTGTGGGGGGGGGGTGCTTGTTGATCTCCCATGGCTTCTTCCTCTGCCCCCAGCTGCGGCACCAGCACTGGAGCCTGGTGATGGAAAGCGTTGTGCCCTCCGACCGTGGCACCTACACCTGCCTCGTGGAGAACGCCGTGGGCAGCATCCGTTACAGCTATCTGTTGGATGTGCTGGGTGAGTGGAGGGGACTGGTCCTGCCCTCCAGGGGGAGGGCAGTCAAGTCCAAGGGTGGGGGCTGTGTGGACTGGAGGGGAGAGCGGGGCTGCCAGGCAGAGGGTACAGTGTAAAGCCCATGTGTGAAGAACGCAGTGACTTCGCAGGCAGGTGGGCTGTAGAAGGAGGTTGATTGAGCTGGGCGTCGGTGGCTCCCGCCTGTCATCCTAGCTACTCAGGAGGCTGAGATCTGAGGATCGAGGTTCAAAGCCAGCCTGGGCAGGAAAGTCTATGAGAGTCTTATCTCCAATAAACCACTCAGAAAACAGGAAGTGGCGCTGTGGCTCAAGTGGTAGAGCGCTAGCCTTGAGCTGAAGAGCTAAGGGACAGCGCCCAGGCCCAGAGTTCAAGCCCCACGACCGACCAAAAAATAAAGCAGGTTGATTGTTAGGCTGAGAAGCGGCTCTGAGCTCAAAGGGAATAAGGGAGCATTGAAGGATTAAGCCGGGGAAGCCGGAGCTGAGCAGACTCTGAGCTGACTGTGGGGAAGGCCCTATCTTTGAACTGGGGAAAAAAGACCAGCACCAGTGGCTCACACCTGTAATCACAGCCGCTCCAGAGGTTGAGATCTGAGGATCAAAGTTTAATGCCAGCTCAGGGTAGCAAACTTTGTGAGACTCTTATCTCCAATTAATCATCAAAAAAAAGCAGAAGTGGAAAAGGGATTCCAGTGGTAGAGTATGTCAGCCTTGAGTGCAAGCTAAGAGAAGCCGGGCACCAGCGGCTCACGCCTGTCATCCTAGCTACCCAGGAGGCTGAGATCTGAGGATCACAGTTCAAAGCCAGCCTGGGCAGGAAAGTCCATGAGATTCATCTCCTATAAACCACCAGAAAACTGTAAGTGGCGCTGTGGCTCAAGTGGTAGAGCGCTCACCTTGAGCTGAAGAGCTGAGGGACAGCGCCCAGGCCCAGAGTTCAAGTCCCACGACTGACCAAAAAAAAAGTTAATAGCATGTAGGCTCTGAGTTCAAGACACACACACACACAGAGAGAGAACGGAATGAGGGGGAGGTAGCTAAAGGGGGTGCTTGTATGGGTGCCGCTGGTCAGGGATGACGGCCTGGCCCGGCCCCCCAGAGCGGTCCCCGCACCGGCCCATCCTGCAGGCCGGGCTTCCGGCCAACACCACGGCTGTGGCGGGCAGCGACGTGGAGCTGCTGTGCAAAGTGTACAGCGACGCGCAGCCGCACATCCAGTGGCTGAAGCACATCGTCATCAACGGCAGCAGCTTTGGCGCGGACGGCTTCCCCTACGTGCAGGTCCTAAAGGTGAGCGATCCCCGGCTCCCACGGGGGTGGGGGGTGGACACCTGCCCTCTCCCCCACTCCCTACCCCTCTCCCCCTCCCCCCACAGACCGCAGACATCAACAGCTCTGAGGTGGAGGTCCTGTACCTGCGCAATGTGTCTGCTGAGGATGCGGGCGAGTACACCTGCCTGGCCGGCAACTCCATCGGCCTCTCTTACCAGTCAGCCTGGCTCACGGTACTGCCAGGTGGGCCCCCCAGGACCCTTCCCCCTCCCCCCCCCACAATCTGGCCCATCTCGCTTGGCCTTGTGGGATATGGCTGTGTGAATGGCTCACATCTGTCATCCTGGCTGCTCAGGATGAGGAGATCTGAGGATCGTGATTTGAGCTAGGGGAATCCATGAGATTCTTGCACTCTAATTAACCCCCTCCACACACCAAAAGAAAAGAGGGAGTCTGGCATTGGCAGCTCACGCCTGTCATCCCAGCTACTCAGGAGGCTGAGATCTGAGGATCGCAGTTCAAAGCCAGCCTGGGCAGGAAAGTCCATGAGACTCTGATCTCCAGTGAACCACCAGAAAACCAGAAATGGCGTTGTGGCTCAAATGGTGGAGCACTCAGCTTGAGCTGAAGAGCTAAGGGATGGCGTCCAGGCCCACAGTTCAAGCCCCACCACCAACCCAAAAAAAAAGGGGGGGTAGTGGAGCTGTGGCTCAAATGTAGGGTGCCAGCCAAGCAAAAGCACAAGATCCTGGGTTCAGTCCACACACACCCAAGCCAGGACTTGTGTTAGATTCCATTTATGCCCCCATCCATGCAGCCCTGTGGCCCGTGAGACCCTGTAAAAATACAGTTTTGTTTGTCAGTCCTAGGGCTTAACCTCAGGGCCTAAGCGCTGTCCCTGAGTCTTTGTGCTCAAGGCTAGCACTCTACCACTTTGAGGCACAATTCCATTCCTGGTTTTGAGACCCCATTTCTGGTTTTCTGGTGGTTCATTGGAGATGAGAGTCTCACAGACTTTCCTGCCTGGGCTGGCTTTGAACCTCGATCCTCAGATCTCAGCCTCCTGAGTAGCTGGGATGACAGGCGTGAGCCACCAGCACCCTGCAGAAATGCAGTTTTCTATGTGTGTCCCTAAGTGCACTGGATGGAGTGTGGGGAGGGTCAGGACCTTGCTGGGGGCGGGGCTGGACAGTGATCACTCTGCTCATTTCCTGTCTGTCATTCATCGGTGGACAAGCAGAGGAGGATCTCACGTGGACAGCGGCCACGCCGGAAAGCAAGTATATGGACATCATCTTGTACGCCTCGGGCGCCTTTGTCTTGGCCGTGTTCCTGCTGCTGGCCGGCTTGTATCGAGGGCAGGCCCTCCATGGCCGCCACCCACGCCAGCCCGCCCCTGTGCAGAAGCTGTCTCGCTTCCCTTTGGCTCGGCAGGTACTGTGTCAACCCCCTACACACCCCGTCCCTCCGGGCTTGGAGCCCGATTGTAGCAAGCCATCCTTTCCTCTGCGCAGTTCTCTCCGGAGTCCGGTTCTTGGGGCAAGTCAAGCTCGTCTTTGGTGCGGGGTGTCTGGCTGCCCTCCCCGGGCCCCCCCTTGCTGGCTGGTCTTGTGAACTTGGACCTTCCTCTGGACCCTCTGTGGGAATTCCCTCGGGACAGGTACACGGAGCAGGACCAGGAAGGGTCCGCCCTGAGCTGCCCCCCAGAGCTCTGAGGCTTTCTTGGTCTCTAGGCTGGTACTTGGCAAGCCACTGGGAGAGGGCTGCTTCGGGCAGGTGGTTGGCGCAGAGGCCTTCGGGATGGACCCCACCCAGCCGGACAAAACCAGCACTGTAGCTGTCAAGATGCTCAAAGGTGGGTATGGCCACCAGTAGGGGGGGGAGAGAGCAGAAGTAGCAGAAGGGGTGGGTATGGAGAGACTTCTGGATGCCAGCGATGCTGGTATATTAAGAGTTACTTCTAAGTGCTCAGGCCTTGAGTTCAAGCCCCAGGAACTCTCCCTCTCCCACTCCAAACACACACACACACACACACACACACACACACACACACATACACACAAACTCACACAGTCCCAGACCCCCAAGTGTTGTATTGAATCCACTCCGAAGCCAGATGCTGGTGGCTCACACCTGTCATCCTAGTTACTCAGGAGGCTGAGATCTGAGGATGGAGGTTCAAAGCCAGCCCAGGCAGGAAACTCCCTGCGACTCTTATCTCCATAAACTGCTAGAAAACCAGAAGTGGCGCTGTGGCTCAAGTGGTAGGGTGCTCACCTTGAAGAGCTGAGGGACAGCACCCAGGCCCTGAGTTCAAGCCCCATGGCCGATAATAATAATTTTTTAAAAAATGCTTATCTCCAGGCTGGGAAGGTGGCTCAGTGGTAGAGCGCTTGCCTTGCATCCATGAGGCCCTGGGTTCGATTCCTCAGCACCACATAAGCAACAAGAAAAAAGCCAGAAGTGGCGCTGTGGCTCAAGTGGTAGAGCGCTCGCCTTGAGCTGAAAAGCTGAGGGACAGCGCCCAGGCCCAGAGTTCAGGCCCCACGACCAGACCCAAAAAACAAAATTAAAAATAAAATAAATAAATAAATGAAAGGCTTATCTCCAAAGAGCCACAAGAACACTGGAAGTGGCTCTGTGGCTCAAAGTGGTAGAGCACTAGCCTTGAATGAAAGAGCTCAGGGACAGAGCCCAGGCCCTGAGTTCAAGCCCCATGACTGGAAAAAAATAAACAAGAATACTCCAGCCCCTTCTGCAAAAACTGGCCCCAGCCACCATTCCACTCCCTCTCCTCCCTCCCTCCTCCCTCCTCCCTCCTCCCTCCTCCTCTCTACACAGCTGGAGCCACCTGGTGCTTTGTGGACAGCCGGGATTGAGAAATGCGCCTTATGATCATTGCTGTGTGGGCAGGGGCGGCGGGGGGGGTTAATATCATTGTATCATTGTCCCAGGGCCACTGACACCCCCCCAGGTTAGGCCTGGGGGTGTATCCTAAAGCCTCAACTCTTTCCCCAAAAGCCAGAGCTCTTCCTAGCTGTGGCCTGGCAGCGGCCTCCCCCAATTCCCAGGCCAGATAGACAGCAGGCCCTGTGTTTACCTCAGGGTGCCAGTGTGTACCCTTTCTACTACTCCTAGGAGCTGTGTCCCGTTCCTCCTCCCCCCTCCCCATGCTCAGGGACTGGTGCCAACCCCTCCAGATACAGCTTCCTTCCTGTTTGGAGGTCTTAACTCTTGCCTGTGTCTCTTATTTCCTGAACTTGCTCACAGGAAGGCTTACTTTCAGATCTTTTTTCTTTTCTTTTTTTTTTTTTCATGGGGGGGGGTCCGGTCTTGGGGCCTGAACTCTGGGCCTGGGCGCTGTCCCTCAGCTCTTCAGCTCAAGGCTAGCGCTCTACCACTTGGGCCACAGCACCACTTCCGGCTTTTTTCTTGTTGCTTATGTGGTGCTGAGGAATCGAACCCAGGGCCTCATGCATGCAAGGCAAGCGCTCTACCACTGAACCACCTTCCCAGCCCCATCTTTTTTCTTTTCTTTCTTGTGCTGGTCCTAGGTCTTGAACTCAGGACCCTGTCCCTGAGCTCTTTTGCTCAAGGCTAGTACTCTACCATTTTGAACCCTAGTTTCACTTCTGGTTTTCTGGTGGTTTATTGGAGATAAGCGTCTCTCGTGGACTTTCCTGCCCAGGCTGGCTTTGAACCTCCATCCTCCGATCTCAGCCTCTTCTGAGTAGCTAGGATGACAGGAGTGAGCCATCAGCACCCAACGTGTCTCTGTGCTTTTGTGCTCCAGGCTGGTGCTCTACCACTTGAGCCACAGCTCTATTTGGGGTGGTTCGCTGGAGACAAGTCTCACAGACTTCCCTGTGCAGGCTGGTGTCAAACCCCAGGCCTCAGATCTCAGCCTCCTGAGTAGCTAGGGTGACAGGTGTGAGCCACCTGAGTGTGAGTTCAGGCTCCTTGACCTGACTTGTCTTCACAGACAACGCCTCCGACAAGGACCTGGCCGATCTGGTGTCGGAGATGGAGGTGATGAAGCTGATTGGCCGACACAAGAACATCATCAACCTACTGGGTGTCTGCACCCAGGGAGGTGGGGCACCGCTGGGGGCGTGGCTGGGGGTAAGAGGAGGCAGAGACAGAGTCTTAGCAGTCTGGCTGTGCCCCCCACCCCACCCCTGCCCCCTCTGCAGGGCCTCTGTATGTGATCGTGGAGTGTGCAGCCAAGGGAAACCTTCGAGAGTTTCTCCGGGCCCGGCGACCCCCAGGCCCTGACCTCAGCCCCGACGGGCCAAGGAGCAGCGAGGGGCCCCTGGCTTTCCCAGGCCTGGTCTCCTGCGCCTACCAGGTGGCCCGGGGCATGCAGTACCTGGAATCCCGGAAGGTGGGCGTGACTGGCAGCCCTCCAGACCATCTGCGCATGCTCCTGCTGGTCATTCATTGTCCCCCACTGCTCTGTCTTCACTCCGCCACCTTCAGTGTCCCCTGTCTTTATTCCCAGGCCCCCATCCTAGTCAGCTACTACTGCCTGGCCCCTTTTCCTCTCCATTCCCTGAGCAAAAGCAAAGAAGTGCCGGAGTTCCCTGCTGTCATGTTTCTCTCTCTTCCTTTGTTTCCTTCCTTCCCTCCTCCCTTCCTGTTCCTTCCTTTATCCCCTCTGCTCCCTTTCCCTCTCCCCTCTCTTACTGTTACATTGCCCTTTTCTGAATCTCGCACCTCCTCATCTGTAAAATGGGTAGACGAGCCGGGTGCCGGTGGCTCATGCCTGTCATCCTAGCTACTCAGGAGGCTGAGATCTGAGGATCGCAGTTCAAAGCCAGCCTGGGCAGGAAAGTCTGGGAGACTCTGATCTCCATTGAACCACCAGAAAACCAGAAGTGGTGCTGTGGCTCAAATAGTAGAGCACTTGCCTTGAGCTGAAGAGCTAAGGGATGGCGTCCAGGCCCAGAGTTCAAGCCCCACGACCGACCAAAACAAATGGATGGAGGAGTCAGGCACACCCCACCCATACGCACAGGCTGCCTGTGAGACTCTGGGCACAGCTCCCAGCATGTGTCCTTCTGTCCCCTGTTCTCCCCCTCCCCCAGTGTATCCACAGGGACCTGGCAGCCCGCAACGTGCTGGTGACTGAGGACAATGTCATGAAGATCGCTGACTTCGGGCTGGCCCGTGGCGTCCACCACATTGACTACTACAAGAAAAACAGCAATGTGAGTCGGGGTGGGGCGAAGCTGGACATGGGGGTGGGGGGGAAGGGGGGGGGACTTAGGGTGTGGCAAGCATCTCCCCAGCGACCTGGGGACTCGGCTTAGTGTGTCCCCACCTGACTCCCCTCCAGGGCCGCCTGCCGGTCAAGTGGATGGCGCCTGAGGCCTTGTTTGACCGTGTATATACACACCAGAGTGATGTGTGAGTTCTGGAGACCCCAGGAGGGGGGGGAGGGCCTCAGAGGGGGGGGGTGTCTGCCGCCATCACTGTCCTGACCTGTGAAAGCGATGACTTCCCTGGCTGGGAAGGTGGCTCAGTGGTAGAGTGCTTGCCTCGCATGCCTGAGGCCCTGGGTTCAATTCCTCAGCACCACATAAGCAGAAAAAGCTGGAAGTGGCGCTGTGGCTCAAGTGGTAGAGCGCCAGCCTTGAGCTGAAGAGCTGAGGGACAGCGCCCAGGCCCAGAGTTCAAGCCCCACGACCGACAAAAAAAAAAAAAAAGACTGGTGCTCTACCACTTGAGCCATAGCTCCACTTCCGACTTTTCAGTACATAATTGGAGCTCTGAAATCTGAGGAGCTGGGCGCTGGTGGCTCACGCCTGTCATCCTAGCTACTCAGGAGACTGAGATCTGAGGATCACGGTTCAAAGCCAACCCAGGCAGGAAAGGCTGTGAGACTCTTTATTTCCAATGAACCACCAGAAAACCAGAAGTGGCGCTGTGGCTCAAGTGGTAGAGCACTCACCTTGAGCTGAAGAGCTGAGGGACAGCGCCCAGGCCCAGAGTTCAAGCCCCAAGACTGACAAAAAAAAGAAACCTTACCTAGGTCCACCAGGTCCAACTCCAGGGCCCCTGAGCCTCCCCTCTTGCCCCCCTCCATCTCAGGTACGGGCTAATGCGTGAGTGCTGGCATGCCGTACCCTCCCAGAGACCCACTTTCAAACAGCTGGTGGAGGCCTTGGACAAAGTCCTGCTGGCTGTCTCTGAGGAGGTACTACCCCCCTCTCCTGCCCCCTCCACTGCCCGCCCCCCTCCCCGGACCCCATCAACCTGAGCACATAGGCGTCTTTTCCCAAGAGGCTGGAAGCTGATCAGTCCATCTCTTCCAGTACCTTGATCTGCGCCTGACCTTTGGCCCCTACGCCGCCCCTTCCGGTGGGGACTCCAGCAGCACCTGCTCCTCCAACGATTCTGTCTTCAGCCACGACCCCCTGCCCCTGACATCCACTTCCTTCCCCTTTCCGGGGGTGCAGACAGGAACTGGGGTGTGAGGTGGGGCTGGCGGGCAGGCCCCATGGTCCTGGGCCTCGTGGCTGACACAGTGGATAACTCTGGCTGCTCCGATCTCTGCTTTGGGGAGACCCCCCCCTTCATCTTGGGGATAAAGCTTCCTGCTGCGTTCCCAATCCACAGCGCCAACCCCACCGTGCAGGTTGGAGATTCCACGCCGTGGTTTTGTGTAGTGCTGGGGCTTGAACTCAGGGCCTGGGCCCTGGCCCTGAGTCTGTGTCCTTCAAGGCATGGTGAGCCACAACACCACTTCCGGCCTTTGAGTGGTTCATCGGAGATAAGAGCAATCGTGGAGATTCTCGCCCAGGGCTGGCTTCGAACTAGGAGCCTCAGATCTTAGCTTCCTCAGTAGCCTGGATGATTGGTGTGAGAGCCACCAGTGCCTTGCGGCCAATGCCAATAGCCTAGGAGCCTGAGTGGTTGGATTCTGCTCCTCCTCCTGAGCCTCGGTACCCGATCCTCGCCGCCTGGGCCTCCCTGGGCCTGGCTACAGAGCTGCTGTCCCGAGCCCCTCTTGCTTCTTCACAGGGAAGAGGTTAACTGCCTTGGGGATCCCACTGCCCCATGTCCCTCCCCCTCTGCTCATCCCCCCTCAATCTTGGGGGGCCAGTGGGGGGAAGAAAGGGAAGCAACATTAACTCTGGTTATCCTTAAAGAGTCTGGGAATCCACCAGAAAAACCGCAAGAGCAAATAACCTTTTATAAATTATTGTTGTTTTTGGAAATAAAATCTCTGGTGTGCTTTGGTGTCTCCCCCGCCCGGAGGGGTGTATGGGTGGGAATATGGGGGGGTTGGGGCTCCCCTAGGCTGGAGAGATGACCCAGACACAGAAGGCTGTGTGCATCTGTTGTTGTCTGTCTCTCTGTCCTGCCTGGAACTGTGCCCACTGGATAGGGAACAGCGTTTTAGGGGGTGCCCCTACTGTCCCCCAGGAAGCTGGCGGCTCCCCACCCCCACCCTAGTAGGAACCAAGCTGGTGATGAGCGCAGCGGGGGGCGGGGGGGAAGCTGGCTGCTCCCCCGCCATGCCAGCCCCCAGCCCCTGGGGCTGCGCCGCCCCGCCCCGCCTGGGCTGGCCCGGCTCCCGGGCAGCAGCTGGTGGCCGCTGGCTGGGCCGCAGCTGTGTCTGCCTGAGCCGGGGAGGCGGTCACGGCCTTGTTCTCAGAGAGATCAACTTCCCAGAGCACTGAGCCTGGAACCTTCCATGGTTCCCAGCCGTTTTCTCCACCTGTGTGGAGACCACAGGCCAGGCCCAGCGCTCAGACAGCCCTGCCAGGCTCTGCTGGCTCCTGAGACAGAAATGGCCTCGCTGGAGACCTAGGTCATATGCTCACCGGCTGAGAATGGATGTAGGACCCAAAAGGCTGGATGTAAGAATTTAAACCGGGCTGGGAAGGTGGCTCAGTGGTAGAGCGCTTGCCTTGCATGCATGAGGCCCTGAGTTCGATTCCCCAGCACCACACACACAGAAAAAGCCAGAAGTGGCGCTGTGGCTCAAGTGGTAGAGCACTCGCCTTGAGCTGAAGAGCTGAGGGACAGCACCCAGGCCCCGAGATCAAGCCCCACAACCAACCAAAAGAAAAAGAACTCAGGGACAGCACCCAGGCCTTGAGTTGAAGCCCCATGATGACTGACAAAGAAAGAAAGAAAGAAAAAGAGGGGACTGATGGCTCACACCTGTAATCCTAGCTACTGGAGAGGCCGAGACCGGAGAAGGTTCAAAAGCAGACCCTGGTCCAGCCGTCTATGACACTTCTATCTGCAAAGGCTGGAAGAGGAGCTACGGCTCAAGAGGTAGAGTACTAGCCTTGAGCAAAAGGAGTTCAAGCTCTGAATTAAAGCTCCAGAGCCAGAATGAAAGGAAGGAAGGAAAGAGAGAGGAGGGAAAAAGAGGAGGGAAGAAAAGTTTTAAGGTTGAGTGTGTAGTTTAGTAATAGAGTATTTTTTTTTAAGCATGCTTAAAACCCTGGGCTTGTGGGCTGGGAAGGTGGCTCAGTGGTAGAGCGCTTGCCTTGCATGCCTGAGGCCCTGGGTTCGATTCCTCAGCACCACATAAGCAGAAAAAGTAGGAAGTGGCGCTGTGGCTCAAGTGGTAGAGCGCTTGCCTGGAGCTGAAGAACTGAGGGACAGCGCCCAGGCCCAGAGTTCAAGCCCTAAAGTGGGCCCTCCGCAGGCCCTGTGGCATACTGGGTACCAGAACCAGGTTGTGCAGAGGGAGGGGGAGGGGGCAGCCCAGCCCACGCCCCTCCCCTCCAGTATCCCTGGCTGGCACACCTCGCTGGGGCTCTTGCCACATTCCTGATGTCCCCTGTCACAGCGAGACAGATGCTACCAATTCCCCAGGACAAGCTCTGCTGTGTTCTCCCTGGGCGGCAGCAGCGGCAGCAGCCGGGGCCTGGCCCGCCCTGGACAGCCTGGACTCTAGGCCCAGCTCCAGATCGCCACTTGCGGGCCGTGGGCAAAGGCTCTGGTGAGCAGGACAGTCAGCAAGACCAACGGAGAGGTGGAGGGAGCGCCACCCCTAAAGCACAGGCGGCTGCTGGCTGTGGGACAGGGCACCTGGGGGGTCAGGGACGGGTGGTACATGGGGTGCAAGGAGAGTTAGGCTTCTGAGCCTCCATTTCCCCACCCTGCCTGTAACCCAGGAATGAATGGCACCCCCCCACACACACACACACTCCCAATTGTTATATAAACAACAGCTGTCCATGCACGGAGATTAGCCGGGAATGGACTCCGGGACTGCGAGGAGCAGTGACCTCACTGGAGTCTCACGGCTCTCCATTTCCTGGATGAAGACACTGAGGATCTGAAGAAGGAGGCTGAGCACGGAGGATCAGGATTGGAGGCTAGCCTGGGCCGGAAGGCTCCTGAGATTCTTTTGTTTGTTTGTGGTGGGGCTTGAACGCTGGGCCTGGGCGCTGTCCCTCAGCTCTTCAGCTCAAGGCGAGCGCTCTACCACTTAAGCCACAGCACCACTTCCGGTTTTCTGGTGGTTCATTGGAGATCAGAGTCTCACAGACTTTCCTGCCCGGGCTGGCTTTGAACCGCGATCCTCCAATCTCAGCCTCCTGAGTAGCTAGGATGACAGGCGTGAGCCACCAGCACCTGGCACCCTGGGATTCTTATCTCCAATGAACCACTGGAAAAATCTAGACATGCAGGTGTGGCTCAAGTGGTAGAGCAGCAGCCTTGCAGGTAAAAATTGAGAGTCAGGGGCTGGGAAGGTGGCTCAGCCCGGGCTTGAGTCTAGGGCGACACTACCTTGAGCTTGAGTCTTTCTGTTATCCCCCCTTCCCTACCCCCTGCAGCCTGTGATCTGCCTATAGCTGTCCTGGTGCTAGCTCCCCTCCCCCAGCCCCAACGCAGAGCCAGGGCCAGCAGAGCTGGGTTAGTGACTCAGGACACAGGAAGGACCCATTCCCGGGAAGGGGGGGGGGCTCCCATGCGGGCTTCCCACACTCCCAGGCCCCTTCACCTGCTGGGAGATTTAGCCTAATCCCGGGTCTGTAGGAGGCAGCTGCAGCTCTCTTCCAGAGGAAATCTCCCTTTTCATTCCCTCTGCCACCGAAATCTGACCTTCCAGGGCACCTGGGCCCCATGGCTGCCCCCCTCATCCTCCATAAGACCCCTGAGGACTGGGGGGGGGCGTGAAATCGTCAACAGCTGAAGGCAGCCAGCTTCCCCACTTCCTCCCTAACTCCCGCCCCTGCCTTCCACAGCCGCTCTTTTCTGGATTTGATGGCTCACATTCACATTGGGGTGTGTGTGTGTGTGTGTGTGTGTGTGTGTGTGTGTGTGTGTGTGTGTGTGTGTGTGTGTGTGTGTGTGTGT